GCCATCCTCCCACCTCAGCCTCCCAAGTAGCTGGGATGATAGGCACACGCCACCATGCCTGGCTTATTTTAAAATAATTTTTTGTACAGACCAGGTCTCCTTGTTTCCCAGACTGGCCTCAAACTCCTGAGCTCAAGTGATCCTCCCGCCTTGGTTTCCCAAAGTGCTGGGATTACAGGCATGAGCTAAAACACTTTCTCTGGCCATGGGTCATTTGTTTGTTTGTTTGTTTGTTTCATCTATGGGCTATATTTTAGTACCCTAAGTGGATGGAAAGGATTCTTCTGGAATGAAATAAGTGAAGCAAAAGCTCTTCACTGAATACTTCGATCCTTAGGTGGAGGACACATTTATGGCCAAGAGGAGCTTCAGCCCTGGTTTCTCTCTACAGGATCAGCACCCATTTTGCAGCAGCACAGCAGGCAGGCTAGTGAAGCTAGTGTCAGTAGCTCAGCATCCTGTGGGGAAAAGCCACAGAGCCCTGTACTTGTGGAAAGGGTTGAGTGGGTACAAGCATAACAGCAGGCCAAGAGACACAGGTAAATTCCAAGTTGGCAAGAAAAGCTGAATGCCGTATTTGGTTCTAGGCGTCATACCACTCGTTTTAATATTGAAGAGTGGGCCGGGCACGGTGGCTCACACCTGTAATCCCAGCACTTTGGGAGGCAGAGGCGGGCGGATCACCTGAGGTCAGGGGTTCGAGACCAGTCTGACCAACAGGGTGAAACCCTGTCTCTACTAAAAATATAAAATTAGCCAGGTGTAATGGCGCATGCCTATATTCCAGCTACTCAGGAGGCTGAGGCAGGAGAATCGCTTGAACCTGGGAAGCGAAGGTTGCAGTAAGCCAAAATCATGTCATTGCACTCCAGCCTGGGTAACAAGAGCAAAACTCTTACCTCAAAAGAAAGAAAGAAAGAAAAAATACTGAACAGAGCAAATGGAAACGGGCCCTAAGCAAGTTTTTAACTATTTCCTTCTAAATGAAGTGCAATCAATATAAGAAAAGCGCCTTCCCAGCAGCAAGGGAAGCCTGAAGAGTGAGTTAGTACTCCTTGTCAAAAATAACTTCCCTTGCCTGAAAAGATTAATAAAGGCCTAAGTGAATATTGTGATTAGATGGCAACACTTTTGCTTTTAGAATGAAAAATGATGAATAGCTACCAAATATAGGCGTCAGAAACTGTTAAATCCATAGATGAAGGACCGGGTGCAGTGGCTCACGCCTGTAATCCTAACACTTTGGGAGGTTGAGGCGGGCAGATCGCTTGAGCTCAGGAGTTTGAGACCAGCCTGGACAACATGGCAAAATCCCATCTCTACAAAAAATACAAAAATTAGTCAGGTGTGGTAGCGTGTGCCTGTAGTCCCAGCTACTTGGGAGGCTGAGGCCGGAGGATCGCTTGAGCCCAGGAGGCAGAGGTTGCAGTGACCTGAAATCCCGCCTCTGCACTCCAGCCTGGGCGACAAAGCCAGACCCTGTCTCAAAAAAAAAAAAAAAAAAAAAACCCGTAGATGTTCACCATTGTGTTAGTTACTGCCAAGTCATTCTAGTTCCTTCTTGTGCCACACTTAGCAAACGCCCATATTGTTCAGATGAAAAAGATGTGTGTGAATTCATGGAGAACATCAGAACATTCGGAAGTCAAATACGTTTTCAGAAATGCTTCTGAATATAAAATAGATGACAGAAACATAAAACCCAGTGAATCAAACTGCTCTCCCTTTTTAATCAGTTTTATAGAATATTTTACAGTACTAATCACATTAGGAGACAGGATGGGTTTCCTGTACATATACAAGATTGTGCAAGCTCATTAATTGAGACTTACAGAAAGGCTTCATCAGTTTCAAAAGAGGCAGTACAGCTTTTTAATCCAGGTGAAGCACAAGAAGAATCCAGTAGACAGGAGAGTATTAATTTGACAGAGATGAATTCCCCTGGTGCATGGCCCCTACCCACACTGTCTGCCATTATCCAAGTGGAGACGTCCTCTCTCTTGAATTGAACCCTTGATGAGCTCAGGCCTGTGGAATGCGGCAACTCCAGGGTCACTCCATAGCTCAACCACAACTTAACACGGAAGCAAACTATATTTTCATTTCTCCAAGTGTTCTCAAGAGTAATAAAGCTATTCCTTGTCCTACTACTTTCTAACTCACATTCTAAAATATATTAAGTAATTTTTAACCTGGCAAAGTTCTCAAGCATTTTGGCATTAAGAGTATCGCAAATACCTCATCACTGTTAATCCATTTACTAAAAATCCTTTGGGCTTCAAGATCATTTTGGATTTACTTCCCTCAAAATTAAAGCAATTGTGTACAAAATAAACTCACTAAATATTTAAAAAGAGAGACAACAGATTTTTCTTTAAAGAAACAAAGCAGGAAGAGACAGGAGAGAAAAATCTAGAAGCACCCATTGAGGAAGTGAACCCCACTACACTTCTATCGCTTCTGTGCAATCCAGTAATAATTTTGAGTGTATTCCTACCTTCCCTCTTCACACCCAATCACACAGGAGAAAAACAATTTTAAAACACCTAGGTGATCTTACCTGCTCTAAAGCGGAAATTCCCATAGCAAACAACAGGAAAAAGAGTGCCGGGGTTCAGCACACCAGTCGGCTGCAGATTCTTAGGGCAAGAACAGAGCCCCTGCATTGGGGCTGGGATTGTTCTCTCGATCATGGACCTCAGGGACACATTTGTAAAGCCCACTTTCAACAAAGGCTTCCAGGACATAGGAAAAGAAAAACCATGCAGCACACCTATTCGCAATCCCTCAGAAAACCTGAGCCTCCTACTACAGCGATGTAACTATCTGTGTAAGAAGGCTTTCCTAAGCAGGTTTTTATAAAGAAAAAGCAGAAGCAAGCAATTACTGTGGCTGAGATTTTACCTAAAATGAAGCAAGCAAGCAAAATGTT